AGCAAACACCTAGGAATTCAATATTGTGTAGTGATTATTGATGGTAATGATTTATAAGACACTACAATTGATTACCCAAATTTTATTTTCAATGTTTACTACCAACGCAGTAAAATCTATTGCTCTACATCCTTGTTAAAATTTGGTATTGTTATGCTTTTTATTTTTAGCCATTCTAGTAAAAGTAAAATAAGTCATTATACCTTTAACGTGCCATTCCTGATGCCTAATGCTATTAAGAATTTTTTTTTTTTTTATTTCAGCAAATTATGGGTGTACATACGTTTAGGTTACGTGTGTTGCCCTTGGTTCCCCCCCCACCGAAGTCCGTGGTTCAAATATGTCCATCCTTCGGGTAGTGCGCATTGCCCTCCTTGTGTATACAAATACCCCTCCCCTCATCCCTCCTCCCCCCTCCACCCACCACCCTCCCCCTTCCCCAGCATCCAATAGATGTTGTTCTGATATGTGCATTTATGTGTTGATTAGTTAATACCAATTTGATGGTGAGTACAAATGGGTCCCGTTCTGCTGCTCTTGTGGTGCTCCACTTTGGATAATGGGCTTAAGTTTAATCCAGGAAAGTGTAAGAGGTACTAGATCACTGTCATTTCTTATGATTGAGTAATATTCCATTGTGAACATATGCCAAATTTTGATAATCCACTCATGGATTGACGGGCACTTGGGTTGTTTCCACATTCTTGCAATAGTGAATTGTGCTGCCATAAACATTCGGGTGCAGATGTCCTTATCGTAGAATGTTTTGTGCTCTTTTGGGTAGATGCCTAATAGTGCTATTGCTGGATCGAATGGTATTTCTATTTTTAGCTCTCTGAGGTATCTCCAAATTCTTTTCCACAGAGGCTGCACTAACTTAGAGTCCCACCAGCAGTGTAGAAGTGTTCCTGTCTCTCCACATCCTCGCCAACATTTGTTGTTTTGTGTTTTTTTGATAGAGGCCAATCTCACTGGGGTTAGGTGATACCTCATTGTGGTTTTGATTTGCATTTCTCTAATGATTAGAGATGTTGAGCATTTTTTTATATGTTTGCTGGCCATTATTCTGTCTTCTTTTGAAAAGTTTCTGTTCATTTCGCTTGCCCATTTGTTGATGGGGTTGTTTGATTTTTTCTTGTTGATTTTTTTGAGTTCTAGATAGATTCTGGTTATCAGCCCTTTATCAGATGTGTAGAGAGCAAATATTTTTTCCCATTCTGTGGGCTGTCTATTCACTCTAATGATAGTTTCCTTGGCAGTGCAGAAGCTTTTTAATTTGATTAGATCCCTAAGTTCACCCAAGAGGTAACAGAATATCTGAATAGACCAATTTCAAGTTCAGAAATTGGAGCAGCAATCAAAAACCTCCCAAAACGTAAAAGCCCCGGACCAGATGGCTACACTCCAGAGTTTTACCAGACATTCAAAGATGAACTCACACCTATACTCCAGAAATTATTCCACAATATTGAGAAAGATGGCATCCTTCCTAACTCATTCTACGAAGCCAATATCACCTTGATACCAAAGCCAGGAAAGGAGACAACAAAAAAAGAAAACTACAGACCAATATCCCTCATGAATATAGATGCAAAAATCCTCAACAAAATTTTAGCAAATAGAATTCAGCAGCATATCAAAAAAATAATTCGCTATTAAGAATTTTAATGGCATTTGTACATTTTTCTTTGCCAAGTCTCAGTTTAGGTCTCTTTTCTTCTTTTTCCATTGCTTGTTCATCTTAACTTTTAGTTGTGAGTATATTTATATGTTCTTGGCAGAAATTCTTTTTCAGATAGGGATTGTGGATATTTCCTCCCAGGCTGTGCCTTCTTTATTCAGTTTCTTAATTATCAATTTTTGAATTTGATAACATGTAATAGGGTATTTTTTGTAGTTATTGTTCTTATGCACTGCATAAGAAACCATCACTTTCCACAGGGTCTCTTAGATACTTTTCTTTGTTTATTCTACAGATATTAGAGTTTGAACTTTTTAAAAATTTAGATCTAACTTAAAAATGTAATTCATATTTTGCATATATTGTGAAGATGGAATAAAGGATCATTTGTTTTTGTTTACAGAAGTACATTCAGTTGCACTAGTATCATTGCTAGAACAAACTCTGTCTTCATTGAATTACTACATTGGTTTCTTTGTAAAAATTAAATCGGGTATATAAAGAGGGTCTTTTTCTGCTCTTCCTATTTAACTATTTGTCCATCATTGTGCAAGTATCAACCGGCTTGATTACTCTAGTTTGATAATAAGTTTGAAGTGTTTTAATACAAGATCCCCATTTTGTTACTCTTTTTCTAATGAATTTAAGATATTCTTATAATTATTTCAGGAGTAGACTAAATTTATTGATATTGATTGAAGCTTTCTTAAATTTATTGACCATTCTTTGAAGAATTGGCATCTTAACATATTTAAATATTCCAAACTGTCCATATGGTATGTATTAATGTTGGTGCAAAAGTAATTGCAATTTCAGACCACGAATTTTAAATCATTACAACTAAATTCAAACACATCTTTACAAAGTAAGAATAATTACAATCAACACATTTTTGCCAATGAGAAATAAGTTTGTTTATTCCTGTAGCATAAAAATCCGTGCTTAGGGATTTGACAAATTCTTGGAAAGCATTTTCTGCATCCTGCTGGTTGTGGAAGCGTTTTCCCTCCAGAAAGTTGTTGAGATGGTTGAAGAAGTGCTAGTTGATTGGCAAGAGGTCAGGTGAATATGGCAGATGAGACAAAACTTTGTAGCCCAATTCATTCAATTTTTGAAGCATTGGTTGTGCCACGGTCCAGCCATTGTCATGGAGAAGACTTAGGCCCTTTCTGTTGACCAATGCCTGCTGCAGTAGTTGCAGTTTTCAGTGCATCTCATTGATTTGCTGATCATATTTCACAGATGTAATGGTTTCACCAGGATTCAGAAAGCTGTAGTGGATCAGACTGGCAGCAGACCACCAAACAGTGATCATGACCTTTTTCCGGTGCAAGTTTGGCCTTGGGGAAGTGCTTTGGAGTTTCTTCTCGGTGCAACCACTGAGCTGGTCGCCATCAGTTGTATAAAATACACTTTTCATTGCATGTCATAATCCAATCCAGAAATGGTTCATTGTTGTTGCATACAAGAAGAGAAGACAACACTTCAAAACATTTTCTTTGATTTTCAGTCAGCTCATGAAGCACCCACTTATCGAGCTTTTTTACCTTTCCAATTGGCTTCAAATACCGAATGACCATAGGATTGTCTTCGGCAACTTCTTGTGTAATTCTAAGAGGATCAGCTTCTATAATTGCTCTTAATTGGTCCTTGTCAACTTCTGATAGCCAGCCACTGTGCTCCTCATCTTCAAGGCTCTCATCTTTGCAAAGCTTCTTGAACCACCACTGCACTGTACCTTCATTAGCAGTTCCTGGGCCAAATGCATTGTTGATGTTGCGAGTTATCTCCACTGCTACGACCCATTTTGAACTCAAATAAGAAAATTGCTCGAATTTGCTTTTTGTCTAACATCAATTCCATAGTCTAAAATAAATATAAAATAAACAGCAAGTAAGAAGTCATTAGCAAAAAACATAAAGAGAGAAATGCACGTTAAAATGATGTATAACATAACCACACTTATTTAAGAATGTGTTCCAAAATCAAAGGGCAAATTTCAACAATGCTAAAACCACAATTACCTTTGCACCAACTTAATATTTTTTAATTATTTTTAATTCCCCTGTCATGTTTTATTATTTTAAGTGCTTGTTGCTGAGTAATTCGTGTTTTAATGTCATTATAAGTGGAATTGTAAATTTTAAAAAAATTAATTTAAAATTTTAATTTTGCTTGTTTGCTAATATTATATAGAAAAAAATATTTATTCTTATACCTGAGTAATCGATAAGTTAAATGATTGGTTGTAAATTCTCTTATTTTTACCTAAAAATATGTGTTATTTATGAATAGGAAAGTTTTCCTTTCATGCTAACCTTAATATCTATTATTTATTTTTTCTTGACACATTGACCTTATTAGGATTTCCAGTAAAATATTAAATAGAATTGATACTAGTTGATGTTCTTGCCTAATTTGCAATTCTGTGGGAAAATTTTTCAGTATTTCACCATTCCGTATGATATTGGTATTTCACATTCCTTTCATCAAATTTTAAAAAGTTTTTTTTTTCCTAGTTTGCTTAAAGTTTTTATGTTTAAATATCATACACGGATGCCAAATTTAATTAAACATTTTTTTCTGCGTCTACTAGAACGATCATACGTTTTATGCATCATTTGTTTATGGGGTGAATCATCACTTTTTCAAGTAGAAAATGTTAAGTAGAAAAATGTTAATAATGATCATCAACCAAAGCATAAATAGTCTCATTAAAAGGTATAAATGTAGTTTTACTCAAACAAAACAGGAGAAAAGTAACACCTAGTGAGCAGAGATTATGAAAGATAGATGGGCTTCATAAGTAGGTATCTTCTTGACCATCATAATTTTATTTCATTTTGTTTCTTCACCCTTTTTTATAACATTTTGGGGGATTTTTTTCTTAACTATCTGCTCAACTTGGTAACCAAGGTAACTTAAATATGTTACAAAAGTTCTGGTTACTGGATCTTGTGTGTGTATGTGTTTGGGGAAGTTCTGGTTACTGTGAGGGGTTTCAGTTGATACTAGTATATACAGATGAGCATCTTACAAATGCATGAGCTAAAGATGATCATGAATCACTACATCATACTATCACCAGAAAAGACTGTTTCTAAACTTCCACAAACCCAATTTTATATTAAATAGGATAGCCAATAATTTGAATGTCTCTGATAAAGTCGATTGTCCCCTAATCCCCTCCTATTACATTCTTAAATTTTTACTTAGCATGCTATTATATATAGTGATAGCCAGCCACCATATATTCCTTTGTGTCTCCCCAGAAATACTGAAGAAGACAGTAGAGTATCTTCCAAGAGTCCTCAGCAGGATGTCCTCTGTCAATGACATGTCCTCATATCCCTCTATCTTCCTTCTGCTGGGTGTCCCAGGCCTAGAAGCTTTCCATATCTGGATTGCCTTCCCTTTCTTTATTGTTTATGTGATAGCCCTTGTGGGGAATTTCACAATCCTCTGTGTGATCAAGACTGAGCAGAGTCTTCGTCAACCCATGTTTTACTTTCTTGCTCTTCTCTCTTTTATTGATCTAGGCCTTTCCACTTCTACCATCCCCAAGATGCTGGCAATCTTCTGGCTCAAATTCAGGGAGATAAGCTTTGAAGGCTGCCTCATCCAAATGTTCTTTATCCATACCTACACTGGTATGGAATCTGTTGTACTCCTGGCCATGGCAATTGACCGCTTTGTTGCCATCTGTTACCCCCTGAGATATACCACTATCCTCACCAACAAAGTGGTAGCCATCATGGCCTCTGTTGTAGCGGAGTGGCCAGTCCTCCTTGTCATCCCCTTCTGTCCTCTTCTCAAACGATTGCCCTTTTGTGGACACTACATTATTCCTCATACCTACTGTGAACACATGGGAATTGCTCATCTTGCCTGTGCTAGCATAAGGGTCAACATCATCTATGGGTTATTTACCATTGCTGCCCTGATCTTTGACTTAATCCTCATCACCCTGTCTTATGTTCAGATCCTACAAGCTGTTTTCCGCCTTCCTTCCAGGGATGCCAGGCTCAAAGCACTCAGCACATGTGGTTCGCATGTGTGTGTTATCTTAGCCTTCTACACACCGGCATTTTTCTCCTTCATGACTCACTGGTTTGGTAGAAATGTTTCTCGCTACATTCACATCCTCCTGGCCAATTTGTATGTGGTGGTCCCTCCTTGTTTAAATCCAGTCATTTATGGGGTCAGGACAAAACAAATTAGGAACCGAGTCATGAAAATATTTGTAAAGAAAGAGTGATTCAAAGGTATTTAGGAGTTGATAAATTACTTCAGGCTATCCTTCATCCTGTATAGCATGCAGGCTATCCAAAATTGACACTAGCTAAAGGAGCACTCAGACATCTCTTCAGCCATTATTAAGGTCTCCTAAATGCATGCTGAGTGGTTCCTTTCTGTAATTTCCATTTTGACTCTCAATAGATTAAAGTGCTTTTCTTAACTGAGGGTAAACAAAGAACCTTTGCAGCAAAGTATTGTCTAATGAAAACTGGTAATAGTGCCTACATTGAGAATCCATGCTTTAGAGCAATCCCTAAAATAAATAAATAAATAAAATTACAGATACATAACCAAAAGCCAATAAAGAAATTAAAATTCAATGTTAAAACTATTCAAGACTGGCGGCTGTGTAAAGCCATCTTTGCATTGTTCCTGGGTCCGGCTTCCTGCCTGCCAGAGCTACCTCCGCCACCGTGGACTCCGGTAGCTTTATCGCCAGAGTCCCCAACTCTCCTTTTCTTTTCTATCCCCTGCATTGGATCACTGGCATGTCCCTCCATGTCACACGCAGCCTTGGGCAGCAGCTCCGAGATCACCACCCAGGACTTGAGGGAGAAGAAGGAAGTTGTGGAGGAGGCAGAGAATGGAAGAGCTGCCCCTGCTAATGGGAATGCTGACGAGGAAAATATGGAACAGGAGGCTGGCAATGAGGTAGAGGAAGAAGGTGGGGAGGAAGAGGAGGAGAAGGAAGAAAGTGATGGTGAGGAAGAGGATGCAGATGAAGATAAAGAAGCTCAGGCTGCCATAGGCAAGTGGGCAGCTGAAGATGATGAGAACGATGACTTTGATACCAAGAAGCAGAAGACTGATGAGGATGAATAGACAGCAAAAAAGGAAAAGTTAAACTTAAAAAAAAAAAAAAAGGCCGCAGTGACCTGTGACCTATTCACCCTCCACTTCCCGTCTCAGAATCTAAACGTGGTCACCTTTCAGTAGAGAGGTCCGTCTGCCCCTCATGGGCAGTGCCACTGGCAGGTGACACCGCTCTCCACCACCCTACCAAAACCACAAGAATTTGCAACAGGGGAGGAAAAAAGAATCAAAACTCCCAAAGCCCTGCTTTTTTTAAAAAAAGTACTTTACAAAGGAAATTTGTTTGTATTCTTATTTACATTTTATATTCTTCTGCGTATTGTTAGGGGTCAGCCATTTTTAATGATCTCTGGACAACCAAACCAGCCTTCCATGTTTTCTGTCCTACTTCTGACTTAACTTGCGATATGACCATGTTCATCATAATCTCAAAAGAGAAAAAAAAAAAAAAAAAAAAAAAACTTGTAAAAAAAGCAAAAACAACAACACAAAAACAATCTTATTCCAAGCATTCAAGTATCCTATTTTATGTATGGACTTAGTGTAAGGCTGGCCAAAAGACCCCCACAGGCACAGCAACGACAGCCCCGGGCCCCTTCCCTGTTGGCTTGCAGCCGGGGCCAGACCGCATTCTGTTATAGCTGGCAAAAACAGCAACGGTGGCTGAGCACCCTGAGCTCGGTTTCCTGCTCTACCCAGCTGCTGCAGGCAAAGTACTCAGGCTTCAAACGACCACATCCAACCTGAATGTTTCAAGACCCCCTTTTTACCCCACATATAGAAACCCTGTCTTAGTCCTGGGTGGGGCAACTTCTCAGGCCCTGACCTTTGGACCTGTGAACCTCACCCGGAAGCACTTTAATAAAGCCACTTGTTTGGCCATAACTTGTGTCCACTGGTCTCTCCGCCACCGAAAACCTTACACTTAGCTACATGTGCTATTAAGTAGTTGGTTTGTATGAGATAGTTAAAAAGGCCGAAGATAAAAGGTTTCTTTTTTTTCCCTTTTTTTGTCTATGAAGTTGGTGTTTATTTTATTTATTTATTTTTTCGCCTGTTTGATGCATGTGTGAAACAATGAATTTTATTTTGCTGAGTTGTTCTAACAAAACAATAAAAAAAAAAAACTATTCAAATCCAAAAGTAGGAAGTACATATATTAGTTAGCTAGATTTAGTCATTCCATAACATATATATACTTCAAAACATCATTTTGTACATAATAAATACAATTTCACCCTACATAATTATCAGTTTTTGCAGTGTAGACATTTAACATCCACTCTCTTAGCGTTTTTCAAGAATACAATACATCATCATTAACTGCAATCACCATGCTGTACAATATATCTCTTGAATTTATTCCTCCTAACAGTAATTTTGTATCATTGGACCAACATCTCCCCAACACCTACCCCCAAACTCCCCACCCTCTGTAAACATTATGGTACTCTCTACTTTTACGAGATCAACATTTTTAGATTCCACATATAAGTGAGACACTGTGATATTTGTTTTTCTGTGCCTATCTGGCAATTTAAAAATAAATAAGTAAATAAATAATTATCAATAAAAAAGTAGACTGTAAGGTACAAAATGACAAGAGGAAAGCAACAACAAACATATAAAACTTCTGAAAAATAAAATGATAGGCCTAAATTCAACCATATCACTAATTACATTAAATGTAAATGTTCTGAACACATCAATTTAAGATAGAGATACTGAAACTGAATAAAAAAGCAAAATCTAGGTGACACTGGCTTCATAGAATGAGTTGGAGAGGATACCATCTTCTCAATGTTGTGGTATAATTTCTGCAGTATAGGTATGAGTTCTTCTTTGTAAGTTTGGTAAACTTCAGGTGTGAACGCATCTCATCGGGGACTTTTTTTTGTTGGAAGATTTTTTAATTTCTGTGTTTGATATTGGTCTGTTCAGGAATTCTGTTTCTTCCTGACTGAGCCCAGGGAGATTGTGTGTGTCTAAGAATTTGTCCATTTCCTCCACATTTTGTAGTTTTGGGGCATATAGATTTTTATAGTATTCAAAGATAATGTTTTGTATCTCTGTGATGTCTGTAATGACCTCTCGTTTTTCATTTCTAATCAAGCTTACTAGAGTCCTTTCCTTCCTAGTTTTTGTCAATCTAGCAAGAGGACTGTCAATTTTGTTTGTCTTTTCAAAAAAACAACTTTCGGTTTCATTAATCTAAGTGGGCAAAGGACATGAACCGAAACTTTTCAAAAGAAGACAGAATAATGGCCAGCAAACATATAAAAACGTATTCAACATCTCTAATCATTAGAGAAATACAAATCAAAACCACAATACGATATCACCTAACTCCAGTGAGAATGCCTTTATCAAAAAGTCCCAAAACACAGATGCTGCTGTGGATATGGAGAGATAAGACCACTCTTACACTGCTGGTGGGACTGCAAGTTAGTACAACCCCTATGGGACTAATTGGAAGATATCTCAATGAGCTGAAAATAGAACTACCATTTGATCCAGCAATCCCATTACTAGGCATCTACCCAAAGGAAAAAAAGACATTCTATAAAAAAGACATCTGCACTCTAATGTTTATGGCAACACAATTCACAATTGCAAAGCTGTGGAAACAACCCAAGTGCCCATCAATACATGAGTGGATTAATAAATGTGGCATAGGTATACCATGGAATACTACTCAACTACTAAAAGCAATGGTGAACTAGCACCTCTTATATTATCCTGGATAGAACTTGAGCCTATCCTTCAAAGTGAGGTATCAAAAGAATGGAAAAATAAGCACCACATATACTCACCATCAAGTTGGTACAAACTGATCAACACTAAGGTGCTCACATTAACATTCACTGGGTGCCAGTCAGGTGGGAGGAGGGTGGTAGGGGTGGATAAACTCACAACTAATGGATGTGATGCACACTGTATGGGGGAAGGGCAAGCTTGTAGCCCTGGCTTGGGTGAGGCAAAAGCATTATATGTAACCAAAATGTTTGTACCCCTATAATATTCTGAAATAAAGAAAAGAAAAAAAATGGTACAAAAAGGAAATGAAAATAAAAATTTTCAAATTAAAAAAACAAAATCTAACTATATATGTTGTCTAAAATGCCCACTTTAAATATAAATATACAAGTAAATTGAGAAGATGGAAAATATATGGCCTGTAAAAAGTATTTAAAACAAAGCTGAAATGGCTATATTAATATAAGACAAAGTAGAATTCAGAATAAGAAATATTGCCAAAAGTAAAGATAGATATACAATGATGAAATAATTTCTCCAAAAAGATATAACCATATTAAATACATATTTACTTAATTGCAAAGGTTCAAATTACATGAAAGAAAATTGATAGATCAAAAGGAAATATGGCCAAATACACGGTTATATTTTGAGGATTCAAGATTCCTCTTTCAGTACCCAAAACAATAAGTAGAGAGAAAATCAGCAACCAAAAAATTGCATAAGATTCAGCTAAAAAATTGATTAGAGTGAAATTCATAGCATTAACTAATACTAGAAAAAGCTATGGGATAATAAATTTACATTACCTACTTACTTATCATCCCTCTTTATTAGTAGCAAAGTACACTAAGGGAAATAAATTTGCTCGTTTTGTTTGCTGACATGCCTTTTAAGCCCAGATACTTCTGTGGTACATAGTAGATGCGTACTAAATATATATTGCATGGATAGATAAATGCAAGCACTAATGTTATCAGTACCATTTATATACTTTATTTACTCACACACTTCAAGAATAACAAATTCTGAATATTTAGAATTTTCACAAGTTTGAAAGATACTCAGTGCTTGAGCCAAGGAATTCTGAGTGAATTCCTTGAGAGTCCATATTCATGCTCAAAGGAGTCCCTAAGTTGCACCCTCCTCATTAGTTGCAAGGTGAAAGCCATATGACTTGCCACTTGTTTCCCTTCTTCCCACTTCTCACTAGCTTTCCCTTATGGTTATGGTGATAGTACAAGTTAACCAAACTCTGATTGATTATCATCTGAATCATTTATGTTAAAATTCCTCCCTCCAAGAAGCCACACACTCAGAAAGACCTTCCTATTTGGTTAATCTTATAAGATATACTAATAAATGTGTTTCATAAAATACTAAGTGAACACATACATACAGAAGGAATGATACTGAAATAATATTACATTTATTGAGTTATTAAGTATTCTATAATGTAAGCAGTACTAAATACTTTGTAATCATTAGGTTATGAGATAGGTATTATTGTATCTGTTTTACAGATGCTAAGATAGGTTAGGTAAATTGTATATAAACTTCCACTTACACTAGTAGTAAGTGGAAGAATTGAGATTCTAATTCCTGGTCTTGCTGATGCTATTAATAGAATCCAATAAATTTATATCAAAGAATGATAGGAGGGTAGGAGTGAGTAGAAAAGAAAACCTGAAAATTATTGGCTGATTTTAGTTTTGAATAGTTGTAGAACACATTCTCGGATCTGTTTGGTTCTTACTCCATAGATGATAGGATTCAGCATAGGGGGTACCAACAAGTACATGTTGGCCAGCAGGATGTGGGTGTGGCGTGGTATATGTTTACTAAAGCGGTGGGTGAGGAAAGAGAAAAGAGCAGGGATATAGAAGGTGAGGATGACACAAACGTGGGATCCACAAGTGCTAAGCGTCTTCAATCTAGCATCTTTAGAAGGGATACTGAATACAGTACGGAGAATCTGTACGTAGGACAGAGAGATGTATGTCACATCAGTCCCAACAATTAAGATAATAACTACTAAACTATATAGACTATTGACGGAAATGTCTGCACAAGCCAATTTCACCACAGCCATATGCTCACAGTACGTGTGGGGGACCACATTGGTCTGGCAATATGGCCACCTTCTCACCAGGAAGGGATGTGGTGTCATTAGCACTAACCCACGTAGAAGTGCCACGATGCCAACCTGAGCCACTGCAGAATCTGTAAGAATGGAGGAATGTCTCAGAGGATTGCAGATTGC